GGTTAGAAACATGGCTGCAGAGTTCCAGCCCCATCACAGAGCAGAGGATAAAAGGGTGAGCATGCAGCCAGAGGAGTTGGCTTAAGAGACAGCACTTATCCAAAGAAACATTTGTGCAAAACCCCTTCTGTGTGGTAGCTCAGGTTTCAGATGCATGCCCTCCATCAGCCTTGCTCATTAGCTTCTTTTGTTGCGGGCTCCTTTCCGAGTTACCCACTGAGGGGAAAGGGAAACATCAGAAGGAAAGAGCATCCACTGGGGTGGTGAAACATCCACCAAGGTGTTTTCTTTCACACTGCTCACTTAGCTTTTGGTTAACTGTAGCTAATCTGGTTAGCTGACTGCTGTGCACACTTTCCCTTTATCCTGCCCCTACTGCCATCTGCCTCTTGCAGAAACAGCTCTTTTGTACAGCCTCTCCTCTACCCGACTCCCTCGCCTGCTTCAACACAATGTACCAGGGTTTGGGGGCTGCTCCCATGGTCCCTCCATGTTCCGGTTGTTGCAATGGCAGATCTAAGTCCACGACTCTGCCTTCATTGCTATCTAACTCTTTCTTTGAGAACTCTATCATGCCTAGGAGACCTGAGGGGTCATCTTTGTTTTGTATTTTTTTTTCTGTCCAATTTCACTCCATTTGCCAGCTATTCTTCACAGCAGCTGGTTTGAGGTAGTGGGCTTTTTTCTAATTTAGTTAAATATGGAGTTTTCTCCTCCATTTATTCATTCCTTTTGGCTGCTTTTCGTTGTTGGGTGAGAGTATAAATATCTTTATGCTGATATTTTCAACTAGAAGCAAGAAAACTGGGATTGAAACCTTTAGCTGCCATAGATCTTCAAAGTCTATCATAATTAAGTACTTTGAAAATGAGTACAAGAAAATACTGTAGTGTTTCTGTAGCTTACTATGTTTTCTTTTCCTGCCTTGGCCCTTAGGCAGCTCACAACAAAATATAGAGGTCCATTTTGGTAACTCTAGTTTTTATATTAGCTCTCTAATCAGCTTCTTTTGATTTTTTTTCGCAATGTAGATAGCTACTTGAAGTCTCTTTATATGCCACTTGAAATCCTGTCTGTAAGCGTGTCAGATATACTTGATCATTTTTAAAGTTCGATAGGATCACTAATTACTTAAGATGTGAACATCATGCCGTAGTCTTTGAATAAATGCAGGAGACATCTCCCAAGAGAGATTGCCCACTCCTCATTCCAGCATTCCAGGGGTACCCAGTAGCAGTATTTTAGGCAGTCAAGTGAAGGATCAGAACAGGCGCCAAGGAAAGTGATGTCAGCAGCTTAACCTGTGTCCCACCTCTGATTGGTACCAGACAGCCAGTGCCCCTGCTCCACTGGGACTCCACCTGCGGCTGGGTGTTCTTGCGAAGGCCCATGAGTCACCCTGAGTTTCCCAGCTTTTATTTGTGGAGTGAGGAAGGGAATGATACTCTTCCCTGTAGGATGTTGTGGGGAGATGCGTAGTCATATTACCTGTCCTTTCCCAGGTTACAAAAAGACATCACTTCAACCCTTGGCAATCTGCTCTAGATTAAATGCAAAAATTCACCTCCATACACAGCAGATAGAGGTCTTACATGGAGATCGTAGTCACGAGAGCACTGAACTCAAGAGGTCTGGGTACTCTGTAGCCAGTCAGTAACTGTCGGGTAGTGAATGCCAATAACAGATAGAGAGATTCTTCTGAAATCCCCTTCTTCATAGTGCCTCAAAGTCACCCGAGCTGGACTTTCCCAGGGCCTGTAACATTGGTTTACATGTCCATCATGGTCAGTATTTACTTTAGACTTGGTCTAAATTATCTTATGTCTGTGACCATCTACCTTCCTTAGTTGTGTGCCATCAGAGGGCATGCACCTCATTTCTGTTCTCATGGTACCTCCATGATCTCCCCACCTGAAATACAGCAAATGCTTTAGTAAATGAATTAAAATGGCAGAACTTGGCACAGAATGCATGTTCAAGATGTGAAATGTATGAGCGAGTGAGGAATGGAGCAAAGGAGTAAGTGAATGAGTGCCGTGAAGACATCTGGCAGGTTTTCTGCAATTAAGCACACACTTAGCGCCAAGCGCCATGCTGAGTTCCGTTTATAGGAGAGATAGAGGTTGGCATGTACTTTTTGGTCACAGCAAAGAATACTCTCTTAGGCACTAGACAAGGTGGTTTACTCACAGAGGCTAGAATAATTTCCCGCCACTGGGCGTAGAACTCTTGGAGAAGAAAATTCTATATGGGCAAAGAAAAATAAATCATTGTAAATTTCTGTATTATCTATCTTTTGGGAGCCCAGACAAGCCAAGCTCCTACTGGGTAAAGGAAATCAGTATATATAATTTGGCATCATCATAAAAGACAGCACATGAAATCTGACACAACATAAAGTTCACCCTCTTAAAGTGTACAATTCACAGAGTTTTAGTATATTCACAAGGTTGTGCAACTATTACCACCATCAAATTCCAGAACATTCTTATTACCACAAAGAAAACTCCACTGCTATTACCAGTTACTTCTAAGTCTCCCCTTCCTCCAGTCCCTGGCAATCACAAATCTAGTTTCTGTCTTTTATGCTTTTCATGTTGTGGACATTTTCTATCAATGAGATCATACAAGAAGGCCTTTTGTGTCTGCCTTCTTTCACCCCGCATGATGTTTTCTAGGTTCATCCATGTTGTAGCATGTATTGGTGCTTCATTCTTTCCTGTAGCTGAATACTATTTCATTGTATGGACATACAGTGTTCTGTCTACTCACCATTTGATGGTCATTTGGGTTGTTTTTGCCTTTTTGATGTTATGAATAATGCCGTTTGAAGATTCATCTATAAGGTGTTTTAGTGAATATATGTTTTCAATTTTCTAGGGTATGTACTTATAAGTGGAATTGCTGGATCATAGAGTAACTCTTTGTGTAACTGTTTGAGGGACTGCCAAACTGTTTCCACAGCAGTTTCATCATTTTACATTCCCACCAGCAATGAATGAGCATTCAAATTTTTCCACATCTTTGCCAACACTTATTACTATCCCTCTTTTTATTATAGTCATTCTCTAGCTATAGGAAGTAGTATCTCATTGTAATTTTGATTTGCATTTCCTTGATGACTAATGTCACTTAGTATCTTTCCACGTGCTTGTGGCCATTTGTATATCTTCTTTGGAGAAATGTTTATTCAAGTCCTTTGCCCATTTTTGAAATGCGGTTGCCTTTTATTGAGTTGAAAGAGTTGTTTAGACATTCTGGATGCTAGATGCTTCTCAAATACATGATTTGCAAATCTTTTCCCCTATTTCATGTGTTAACCTTTCACTTTCTTGGTAGTGTCCTTTGATTTGCATAAGCTCTTGATTTTGATTGTCTTATACATTTATTTTTGGTTTTCTGTGCTGTTTTACAATTTTATTTTTTATTTCAAAATGTTTTTTGGGAACAGGTGGTGTTTGGTTACATGGATAAGTTCTTTAGTGATGATTTCCAAGATTTTGGTGCGCCTGTGTGCAATCTTTTATCCCTCACCCCCTTCTACCCTTTCCCCTGATTCCTCAAAGTCCATCGTATTATTCTGATGCCTTGGCATTTTTATAGCTTAGTTCTCACTTATGAGTGAGAACATGAAATGTTTGGTTTTCCATTGCTTAATTGTTTCACTTAGAATAGTGATCTCCAATTCAACACAGATTTCTACAAATCCCATTATTTCATTCCTTTTTATGGCTGAGTAGTATTCCATTATATATCACATTTTACTTATTAACTCATCAATTGATGGACATTTGGGCTGGTTCTATATTGTTGCAATTGTGAGTTGTGCTGCTATAAACATGCATGTGCAAGTATCATTTTTGCATAATGACTTCTTTCCTTTGGGTAGATATCCAGTAGTGACATTGCTGGATCAAATGGTAGATCTATGTTTAGCTCTTTAAGCAATCCCCACATTATTTTCCATAGTGGTTGCTCTAGTTTACATTCCCACTGGCAGTGTAAAAGTGTTCCCTTTTCATCACATCCATGCCAACATCTATTTTCTTTTTATTCTTTGATTGCAGCCATTCTTGCAGGAGTAAGGTGGTATCTATCACACTGTGGTTTTGATTTGCATTTCCTTGATAATTAGTGATAATGATATATTTTATATGTGTTTGTTCAGTATTTGCATATCTTCTGTTGAGAATTGTCTATTTGTGTTTTTAGCCCACTTTTTGATGGGATTGTTTTTTTTTTCTTGTTGATTTGTTTTAGTTCATCGTAGATTCTGGATACCAGTCCTTCGTTGGATGAACAGTTTTTGAAGATTTTCTCTACTCTATGGGTTGTCTGTTTACCCTGATGACTATTTCTTTTGCTGTACAGAAGCTTTTTAGTTTAATTAAGTCCCATCTATTTTTATCTTTGTTTTTATGGCATTTGCTTTTTGGGTTATTGGTCATAAAGTCTTTGCCTAAGCCAATGTCTACAAGGATTTTTCAGATGTTATCTTTTATAATTGTTATGGTTTAAGGTCATAGATTTAAGTCTTTGATCCATCTTGAGTTGATTTTTACATAAGATGAGAGATGAGAAACCAATTTCATTCTTCTCCATATGGCTTGCTGATTCTCCTGGCGCCATCCATTGACTAGTGTGTCCTTTCCCCACTTTATGTTTTTGTTTGCTTTGTTGAAGTTCAGTTTACTTTAGGTATTTGGCTTTATTTCTGGGTTCTCTATTCTGTTCCATTAGTCTATGTGCCTGTTTTTATACCAGTACCATGCTGTTCTGGTGCCTACAGTCTTACAGTATAGTTTGACATCAGGTAACATGATGCCTCCAGATTTGTTGTTTTTGCTTAGTCTTGGTTTGGCTATGGGGGCTCTTTTTTAGTTCCATATGAATTTTAGGATTGTTTGTTCTAGGTCTATGAAGAATGATAGTGTTATTTTAATGGGAATTGCATTGAATTGCTTTTGGCAGTATGGTCATTTTCACACTATCAGTTCTACCCATCTGTGAGCATGGGACATGTTTCCATTTGTTTGTGTCATCTATGATTTCTTTCAGCAGCATTTTGTAGTTTTCCTTGAAAACTTTCACCTACTTGGTTAGGTATATTTCTAAGTATTTTATTTTGTTTACAGCTACTGTAAAAGAGGAGGTTGAGTTCTTGATTTGATTCTCAGTTTGATCGCTATTGGTATAGAGCAGTGCTACTGATTTGTGTACATTAATTTTGTCCTGAAATTTTACTGAATTCATTTACCAGTTCTAGGAGCATGAGTCTTTCAGGTTTGTAGTTATATAATCATATCATTGGTGAACAGTGACAGTTTGACTTCCTCTTTGCTGATTTGGATGCCCTTTATTTCTTTCTTCTTGTCTGATTGCTCTGGCTAAAACTTCCAGTACTATGTTGAATAGAAGTGGTTAAAGTGGGCATCTTTTTTTTGTTCCAGTTCTCAGGGGGAATGATTTCAACTTTTCCCCATTCTGTGTAATGTTGGCTGTGGGTGTGTCATAAATGGCTTTTATTACCTTGAGGTAAGTCCCTTGTATGATGATTTCACTGAGGTTCTAATCATAAAGGGATGTTAGATTTTTGCCAAATGCTTTTTCTGCATCTACGAAGACAATTGTGTGATTTTTGTTTTTAATTCTGTTTATGTGATGTATCGCATTTGTTGATTTTTGTATGTTAAACCATTCCAGCATCCCACATATGAAACCCATTTGACCATGGTGGATTATCTTTTTGATATGCTGTTGATTTGGCTAGCTCATATTTTGTTGAGGATTTTTTGCATCTATGTTCATCAGGGATATTGATCTCTAGTTTTCTTTTTTTGTTATGTCCCTTCTTGGTTTTGGTATAAGGGTGATTCTGGCTTCATAGAATGACTCAGGGAGGAGTCCTTCTTTCTCTATCTTTTGGAATAGCGTCAATAGGATTGGTAGCAATTCTTTGAATGTCTAATAGAATTCCACTATGAATCCATCTGGCCCTGGACTTTTTTATTGATTTTTTTTTATTATCACCTCAATCTCACTGATGATTATTGGTCTGTTCAGAGTTTCTGTTTCTTCCTGGTTTAATCTAGCAGGGTTGTATATTTCCGGGAATTTATCCACCTCCTCTAGGTTTTCTAGTTTGTGTGTGTCAAGGTGCTCATAGCAACCTTGAAAGATCTTTTGTATTTTCTGTAGTGTCCATTGAAATAGTTCCTATTTCACTGCTAATTGAGCTTATTTGGATCTTCTTTTTTTCTTGGTTAATCTCACTAATGGTCTATTAATTTTGTTTATCTTTTTAAATAACCAGCTTTTTGTTTCTTTATCTTTGGTATTTTTTAATTTCAATTAGCTCTGCTCTGATATTTGTTTTTTGGTTTTTTTTTCTTCCATTGAGTTTGGGTTTGATTTGTTCTTGTTTCTCTAGTTCCTTAAGGTGTGACCTTAGACTGTCTATTTGGGCTCTTTTAAACTTTATCATGTAGGCATTCAATGCTGTTAGCTTTCCTCTTAACACCACTTTTGTTGTAACCTGGAGATTTGGATAGGTTGTGTCACTATTATCGTTCAGTTAAAAAAAGTTAATTTCCATCTTAATTTCATTGTTGATCCAATGATCTTGCAGGAGCAGGTTATTTAATTTCCATGTATTTGGAAGGTTTTGAGGGTTCCTTCCACTGTGGTTTGAGAGAGTACTTGATATAATTTTGATTTTCTTAAATTTATTGAGACTTGTTTTGTATCCTGTTATATGTTCTATCTTGGAGAATGTTCCATGTGCTGATGAATAGAATGTATATTCTGCAGTTGCTACATAAAATGTTCTGTAAATATCTGTTAAGTCCATTTGTTCTATGGCATAGTTTAAGTCCATAGTTCCTTTGTGGACTTTCTATCTTGATGACCTGTCTACTGCTGTCATTGGAGTTTTGAAGTCCCCACTATTATTGTGTTGTTGTCTATCTCATTTTGAGGTCTAGTAGTAATTGTTTTATAAATTTGAGAGCTCCAGTGTTAGGTACATATATATTTAGAACTGTAATGTTTTCCTGTTGGACTAGTCCTTTTATCATTATATAATGTCCCTCTTTGTATTTTATAACTGCTGTTGCTTTAAAGTCTATTCTGTCTATGAATAGGTACTCCTGCTTGCTTTTGGTGTCCATTTGCATGGAATATCTTTTCCACTTTTTTACCTTAAGTGAGACCTTTTGTGTTAGAAGAGTTTCTTGAAGGCAGCAGATACTCGGTGGGTGAATTCTTATCTATTTGGCCATTCTGTGTCTCTTAAGTGGAGCATGTAGGCTATTTACATTCAACTTTAATATCAAGAAGTGAGGTACTATTCTATTCATTATGCTAGTTATTGCCTAAATATCTTTTTTTAAATTGTGTTCTTATTTTATAGGTCCTGTGAGATTTATGATTTAAGGAGGTTTTATTCTGGTGTATTTCAACAATTTGTTTCAACGTTTAGAGCTCCTTTTAGAAGTTCTTGTATTGCTAGACTAGTAGTGGTGAATTCTCTCAGCATTTGTTTGTTTTGAAAAGACTGTATCTTTCCATCATTTATGAAGCTTAGTTTTGCTGGATACAAAATTATTGACTGATGATTGCTTTGTTTAAGGAGGCTAAAGATAGGACTCCAATGCCTTCTTGCTTGTAGGGTTTCTGCTGAAAAATCTGCTGTTAATCTGATAGGATTTTCATTTATTGGCTACCTGATGCTTTTGCCTCACAGATCTTAAGATTCTTTCCTTCATCTTGACTTTAGATAACCTAATGACTCAGTTAGTAGTTATTAGCCATTGCCCAGGCAATGATCTTTTTGCAATGAATTTCCCAGGTGTTCCTTGAGTTTCTTGTATTTGGATGTCTAGATCTCTAGCAAGGCCAGGAAAGTTTTCCTTGCTTATTCCCTCAAATATGTTTTCCAAACTTTTAGATTTCTCTTCTTCCTCAGGAACATCAATTATTCTTAGGGTTGGTCCTTTAACATAATCCCAAATTCCATGGAGGCTTTGTTAATTTTTTTAAAAAAATTCTTTTTTCTTTGCCTTTGTTGGATTGGATTTGAAAGCCTTGTCTTCACATTCTGAAGTTCTTTCTTCTGCTTGTTCAGTTCTATGGCTGACATTTTTCTTGGTATTTTACATTTCTCTAAGTGTGTCCCTCATTTCCAAAAGTAGTGATTTTTTGTTATTTATTCTATTTATTTCTCTGGAGATTTTTCCAACCATATTCTATATCTTTTTTTTTATTATTTCTTTAAGTTGGACTTCACCTTTTTCTGGTGCCTCCTTAATTAGCTTAATAGTCAGCATTCCGAGTTCTCTTTCTAGCAATTCAGAGACTTTTTCTTGGTTTGGATCCATTGCTGGTGAGCTAACGTGATATTTTACAGATATTAAGGAGCCTTGTTTTGTCATACCAGATTGTTTTTCTGGTTCCTTCTCATTTGAGTAGACTACGTCAAAGGGAAGATCTGCTAATCAGATTCTTTTGTCCCACTGGGTCCTTCCTTGATGTAGTGCTCTCCCCCTTCCTTCCCTAGGGATGGGACTTCCTGAGAGCCAAACTGTAGGGATTGTTATTTCTCTTCTGGATTGAGTCACCCAGCGGAGCTACTGGGCTCTGGCCTGGTACTGGGGAGTGTGTCTTCAAAGTCTTGTAATGTGATCTGCCTTCAGATGTCTCAGCTGTGGATAGCAGCACCTGTTCCAGTGGAGGTCACAGGGGAGTGAAACTGACTCAGTGAGGGTCCTTGTTTGCATTTTTGTTAAGTGTGCTGGTTTTGTGTTGGCTGTCTTCCAGTTCATTAGCTGCAATAGTATAGGGAGGATCAGGTGGTGGGCTGAACCACAGAGCTCCCAAGAGATTATGTTCTTTGTCTTCAGCTACCTCTACCAGGGCAAGTAGAGAAAGACCATCAGATGGGGGCAGGGTTAGGCATGGCTAAGCTCAGACTCTCCTTGGGTGGGGCTTGCTGTGGCTGTTGTAGAGGATGTATATTTTGTTCTCAGACCAGTGGAGTTACGCTCCCAGGGAGATTATGGCGGCCTCTGCTGTGTCATACAGGTCACCAGGGAAGTGGGGGAAACCAGCATGACAAGCCTCACCCAGCTCCCAGACAGTCTTAAAGGCCAGTCTCATTCCCACCATGCCCCCACAAGAGCTTCGAGTTTATTTCCAGGCACCCAGTGAGCAGGACTGAGAACCTGCCACAGGCTACAAACCTCCCCACTGAGAAAGCAAGCAGGGCTTTCAGGCTTCTGGCCTCCCTGCCTGCCAAGGTTTCTGTGCTCATATACGCACTCCCTGTTCACCTCCTTCCCTGGACTCTGTCCAGGAAACTTCATGTTTGGTTGAAACTGTTACAAAGTCTAGCTGGAAGTTTCCTTCTCTCTGTGCTAATTCCCCAGTTCTGCTGGCACCCCTCCCCAAAGACCTCTGTGAGACATTCAGGAATGGATTTCCTGGGGACCAACAGTGCCCATGGGGCTCTTCTCACTGCTTCCTCTTCCCCTATATTTCACTCTGCTCTCTAAATTCATCTGAGCCCCAGGTAAGGTCAAATTCTTTTCCCATGATTTGACCTTCAGGTTCCCCAGTGAGGATGTGTGTTCAGAGGTGGACATTCCCCCCTCACACTTTGAGCACTCAGTTTTTCAGCTGTCTTATGGATCCTACACAGCAAACTTCTTCCTTCAAAGGGGCTTGTGCCTTTTTTGTCATATCTAAAAATCTATTGCTTAATTCAAGTTCACAAAGACTTACACCTATGTTTTCTCTAAAAATGTTACATATTGACTTTTACATATAGGCCTTTGATCCGTTTTGGTTAATTTTTCTGTATTGTTTGAGGTGGGATCCAACTTAATTTTTTCACATCTCAGCACTATTTGTTGGAAAGGTTTTTCTTTGCTCATTCAAGGGTCTTAGTACCCTTGATGACAATTGCCCATAGATGCACAGATTTACATCTACACTCTCAATTATATTATATCATCTATATGTCTATTATTGTGCCAGTACCTTAATGTCTTGATTAATTTAGCTTGGTAGTAAGTTTTTAAA